GATAATCACTTTTAGGCCCAAGAAGAGCGAATGAGATCGAAGAAATTTTACAGTGATTCTCACATAAACCAGGCAATTGAAAGAGTTGCACTGTACGTTGAAACCAACAGAGAGCACCCTGGCTATTTTGATACGGTGATATGCAGTGGTATGTATAAGGTCATTTCTTTTCTATCATTCCTAGACCCATCTCCTTTAACATTTGTTTCTCTTTTTTCTGCGCTGCAGTTTTAATTGAAGCTGGGGCGGACATGCACCACTTATCTTGCCTTCCCTTGGGATGATGCTAAAATAATGCCTGATTAATACATTTCGAAATTTGATGGCTGGCCCATGAGGTAAACTGGAAGGCTGGGCCAGAGATGCGATTGTATCCCAAAAACATTTGCTAGTCCACAACTGTATTTTTGGCGCAGTAATCCCGTGCATGCGAGGAAATTTATATTTTTCCTACAATTTGTGCAGAAACTTCATGCATTCCAACCAATGCAAGGAAAATAGGTAGGCAGAAATGCTAAAATGCCATAGATTTCCATTAAAAATATTCGGCAGGAAATGTTTAGCCTTGCGTCACAGCATTACAGTTACAGTCCTGAGGTTGGTTTAACAGAAGGGTTTAGTTACCCCTCCCCTTAAGCTTAACGCTCATTCATGATTTGTTTCAATTCTTGATAAGGTTTTAGGCTATATAGCAGTTTAGAACCTTAACGATTTTTGACACAGTGACTTGTGAAGAGGATTGGCCTGGCCACTGGTAGGATGAAATACTAGGGGGGATGTTTTACCTTTTTTCAGAAAATGCCCTTATAGTTAAAATGTCTAGACTTCTTTCGGAATCAAGAATTTTATTTTTTACTGTGTTACCATTTTACCACACGAATAAATCTGATCTTTTTGCAGACGACCTCGAGGAGTCATACAAGCAGCTAAAGAGAGTAGTTCTAGAGTATCTCGGCATAAGTCCTGTGAATTCATCTGTTTCGTGTATATCTCGTAGTACACATGAATCTGAGATATCCCCCGTCTCGTTGTCCGAGGTAACACGGCCAATCAGCACACCTTATGATAAGGAATCTTTGACAGCCTCTGCTGTAAAACCTTGGATACGAACAAGTGCGGGGTCCAGAGCTTTGGAATCTAATAATCACACGAACCTACCTCGGTCAGCCAAGTCTCCTGTTGTAAGTACCTTGTCATGTTATTTTCATTAATGCACTCTTCTGTAGTTTCGTAGTGTACTACCTATGTCCCATGTCTGAGTCAATTTAAGTCATACCCCAGTCAACTCGGACTTGCACTGAGTCGGACTCGTTATCGTATTCACGTCAAAAGTTATACTCCCGTATGAGTCGAACATCGCTAAGTGAGATCATAACCTCAACATCGCCCCCCTCCCTATATCCGTTTTGGTCCAAGAATATCCGTTTTGACAATTTTTTTATACCACCCAGTTTTTCGCGTAATTTTATCAAGTATATTCATTCCTTGATACACTAGGAAGCTGCCTCAATTCAACGCCGATTCGAAATGATGAAAGCAGCAACTGTTGGTATAACATCAACATCGGAGGAGCAGCTATCAAAACTTAAGTATGTTATTAATCTTTGCTGAATTTTTCTTTCTTTTGTTAATTCTATCATCATTCAAGTATCACGAAGCAATGTTGAAAAATCATTATTTCTGTAGATTCTTGCAAATTTACCCCCCTCCCCCTCCCTCCCCCTCTCTCCCCTTCAAATAATAACGTGATCCACAATTCCTAATGATCAATCGAAAATTTTACTGGTTTTACTTTCTTGTGTAGGTTTTTGCTAGCAGAATGCAACTTTTAAGACCTATTTTTTACATCGCCTCCCCGGTCACACATTTTTCTGCCGGCTTCTCCAAACGCAAAAAGGCCGTGCGCAACTCCAGACACTTCAGCTTTTTCACTCGTTTAAGATATAAGTTCCGTTTCTGCCCGCTTTTTTGTTTGTCACTAAAGTTTGAAAGGAATATTCGAAATTGGTTCGATTAATCCCGGTTATCAGTTTCAGACCGCCCTTGTCTGCTAATGGCCTGTCTGACTCCTGGGCCTTTGAAGATATACCAGCACATAAAAGAGCATCCTCGGCTCCCAATGGACTGGCTTCATCATACTCCAAGCCTCGACTGGATGACGAAACTGATTCTGAAAAGGAGACTGTGGATTCAGATATTAGCTCAGCTCATGCTTCCTACATGGTCAATGCAAACGAGTATGAGGACAGTGGCTCTGAAAACGAGGACGACAAAACTTCATATTCAACAACGCGTACCACTATAACATCTTAAAATCGACTTAGATGACTGACTTTACCCATTGTAAATAAAGCAAGTTGCAATTGCCAAATGATTTATTGTTTTCAAACTGCATTATTCTTGCAATTCTAATTTTGTTGCTGTAAACGGGGGAATAGGGGAATACCTTTTTCAGCCGTTAATGGGTAAATATTCTCTTTACACTAGGTGGGCATCTAAAAAGATAATCTTTACTACAGCATTCCGAGAAAATGGGTCAAAGTAATTGTTTTTTATAGCAGTTTTGCCCAGAGTCTACAAAATATGACGTCACGCGTCTAATGACCGCGAGACCGTGTATCGTAAACTAAAGAATTTTCCACATCACACCCAGGTCACGCCCTGTTTACAATAAATGCTTCGAAGCTTACCTTTACAGTCTGGAAGCTTGAGGTCCTTATTTGGGCCCTCGTTTTTTCTCCAGCCACCTTGTATTGATTTGTGACTGGCAGCCTTAAGTTATCTCGCTGATACCCATTAAAAGGCATTTAGTCATGATAAAAGGAGAGGGTATACCAAAATACGCCGTGTCATGGTTCTTTTGCTGCAATGCTATTGGTGGGCCTGACAATGATCACGTGAAATTGCTCCATGCCAATTTACACAACAGCTTCTGTCAATAGCAAGTTGTCAACAACTGATGACGTTCACGCTGAAAGCAAATGAAATGTCTATTTACCATGACTCAATGTCTTTAATGCAGTTTTATTCAATATATGGTGATCAATGTATGGTAAAGATATGTTTGTATCACAAGTTTTGCAAACTTGTGCAAAAAAAGATACCAAGAAAAAACAATCTCAAAAGCCGGTTTTATGTGGTCCAAAAAGGATACTGAAACTAAAAATCAAAGTCGAAAATCAAAATGCAACTCTATATTCTTCCAAAATTTGTAGTTTTTTCATGGAATACACTCAAATTTAAAAACAGTCAATAAAAAAAAAGAATAAAAGCCCAATTAAGCAGTTCTTCGGGATGAAAAAGTCTTGTAATATCAATTTTGTCACTAAAAAACAAATCGAAATTTTCAAATTGAAAAACCCAAAGTGAAAATAGATTCATTTAAAATTGCAAGATTATATACCAAAAAATAATACAGTGGTGATGTACTTTTCAACTTAGAATCCGTATACATGAAGAAACTTGATCTCAAAAGCACAGCAAGGTGTCATAAAAATGCAAATGTCGTATAAAATTAATATTTTTACTGAAAACTATGGTAAAAAATTGAGATAAAATGCAAGGCTGCAGCATTAACATGCCAAAATGCAAGGCTCTAGGCTTGGGAAATTTGTAGTTTTTGATGGAATATTTTCGAAGCAAAAGCAGTTTAATTGATTGGAAAAGCCATAAAAAGCAATGATGGCGCTAAGAGGCAGGGTAAAAATTGACTCCAAAAAGCAATGTTACGAAACCATCAAATTCAAAATATTGCTGTTTTTTCGAAAAAAGCTCTTATTTCTAGAATAAATTCAAATCCTGTTTCTTCTGATTATATAGAGGCAAGTTAAACATTTTTCAGATAAATAAATTTCTTGAAAAACTTAAAAAATTCTCTAATCTGATATCCTTACTTAATTGAACAAAATCGAGCTGTCTATATTATCATTTTTTTCAAAAATTTTGACTTCCATTCCAGTAAAAAGTTTAATCTTTGTTAATTTTGATGATATAAAGCCAAACTGATTTCTTTTTAGACGAAAAAATTTCTGGGAAAGTTTGACGATTTTTCTAATTACAGAGACTTTTTTTAGTCAAAAATCGACCGATCTAAAACATGATTGTTTTTAAAAAATATGACTTAAATTTCAGAACTGAATTCAATTTCTGTTGCATTTGTTGAAATAAAGCCGAAATAATTTGTTTTTAAGGAAAAAAATTTCGAAAAAAATCTAAAAGTCTTTCTAAGCCTATAGCCATGCTTTGACTTGACCCTCCCAAGATATCATTTTTTTTTCGGAAAATATGTCATTTTTCCACAACTAAAAATTCAATTCCTATTAATTATGATGACAAAGAGCCAATTTAATCTGTTTTAGGGTAAAATATCTTGAAAAATTTACGATTTTTCTAAGTCTATAGAATAACTGTCCTTTAAAAGACTGACCCATGAAAAATATCGTCGTTTTTCAAAAAATATTACTCCTTATCTGAATTAAAATTCAATCATGTTATTCTGAAGATATAAAGCAAAAGCAATCTGTTTTTGAAAATAGAAATCTGGAAAGAAATTGAAGATTTTTCTAAGCCTCCAGCCTTACTCTTGGGTCCCGAAAAAGCGGGGGTCCTAATAAGCAGGAGGGGTTGGAAAATTTGTTAAAATTTAATAAGCGGGAGGGGGGTTGAAATAAGCGGGGGGGTGGAGATTTGGTGTAATGTATCCGACCGCAATAGAGCACGGGCTGCAATACTCAGACATCTTGAAGGAAATTTCGACACATATGAAAATTAGACAAGTGGGTGCTAATTCAGCGCAATGAAACACGCAATGAAAAAAAATAAGGGTGGACGCTTATTCGGGACCTAAGAGTATCTTTTTATCCAAAATCGAAACATTATAAAAATCGCTGTTTATCCAATCAATTTTATTCTAGAATTTTATTCAGTTTCTGCCAATTATGACGATATAGAGCCAATCCAAACGGTTTTTAGAAAATAAAACTCTGGATAAAGATTGAAAATTTTTCTAAGCCTATAGCTTTACATTTTATCCAAAATCGACCAATTTAAAATATAGCTGTTTTTCAAAAAAATATCACTTTCATTCCAGAACTATATTCAATTCCTGCTAATTTGGATGCTTTAGAGCCAATCTAATCGGTTTTTAAAAAAAAAATTTCTGGAAAAATTGAACATTTTTTTAAGCCTCACTCTTTTTATCCAAGATCGAACCGTTATAAATATCGCTGTTTTTGGAAAATGTTTATATGACTTTTAATCAAGAACTATAATCAGATCCAGCTGTTTTTACGAAAAAGAATTTCTGGAGAACTTTGAAGAAGCCTTAGTTTTTTATCTAAAATTGACCCATCTAAAAAATAGTTCTTTCTCGAAAAATAAAACTTCCAGGACTAAGCTCGATTCTTATTCATCCTGCTAGTTTCTAGGTTCAAATTAACCATTTTTAGAACAAAAAACTTGACGATTTTTCTAAGCTTATAGCTTTATTTTATATCAGGATTTGATCCATTTAAAACATCGTTGTTTTTCGAAAAATATGACTTTCTTTCAGGAACTAAATTAAATTCCCTTCAACTCTGATGATTTAAAGCCTAAATAATCTCTAAATAATTTTTTGGAAAATAATTTCTGGAAAAATTTGACGATTTCTCTAAGCCTATGGCCTCGATTTTTATCGACATTTGATCCATCCAGAATTTAATGCCAAAGTAATCTGCTTTTAAAAAAACCATTTTGGAAAAGTTGGATGTATTGTGAAATTGCATATAAAATTTGATATAGGAAAGTTCATAGTTTTTGATGGCTTATTTTCCTTCGAATAAACCATCTTTATGAAAAAATAATTATCTCGATAGCCAAAATATTTTATATGATCGAAAATTTCCTAAAAAAAGCAAAATCTACGCTATGAAAAATAGCAATGAAAATTGGTTTATATCATTGAAAATTGAAACCGATGTTTTAGCTAAAAACAAATGTTAATAATTGGTGCTATGAAAATTGGTGCCGAAATGCAATGGTAAAGGCTTTTTTAATGAAATATTAATATTTTAAGAAACCATTTATATGATGAAATGATGAAATCTAGAAATCGGTATATCGTATAACGAATGAGCTACAAAATCATTACTGGCCATAGAAAGGAAATGAAAGGCTTTAGATAGAGAAGAAAAGCTTTTATTGTAATACTTTTTGCAGTGCTCAGGAAAAGCCTCAACCTTCCTTCAAGTGAAATTTTGCCCTGTCTGCCTTCCTTAAAAACTTCCTTGCATGCTTTGAATAAAAGTTTCTTAGAAATGGATATTAATTAAAAACATCTGTTGCTTGCTCTTTACGGTTTGTTAAAAAAAGAAAAGTTCAAAGAACAAAGGCATTTCCACTCACCTTATACACTCTTGTGAGGTCATGCATTGGCCCCCCTCAACTACTGTATCATTGGATAGCCTTCCTCCAGCTCATAGCCGTGGAACCGTTATGTTCTCAAGACTCTAACTTTTTGGAAAAACGACCTGAATCGATAAAAAGCCTTTAGGTCTATATCACTCCTGAACTAACCTGGTGTTGAACTTCTAAAGTCGTCGTTTAAGCAAAAATATAACCTTGAAAAACTGCCAACCTTGGATAGAAAATTATATATTCAAAAAATATTGGTTATTCTTATTTGGTTCTTGACATGATCTTGAAAACAGTGGAAGTACAGTTTCTACAGTTAGAATGACGACTTTTAAGGAATATGTAAGGCCTATAGCATTAGGAATATTGGAAAAAATGATTACAGTATGTTAATGCTTCAGTCTGAAAATGTTACAAGCAACCAAATAATTCTTCATTTGATTTTGAATACGCTTGGCAATGAGTTGTGGTCGTAAAAACAAGTCTGTATGCAAATTGTAAGATAATAGAAACTGAAGTAAGAGCTTAATTATACAATAACAATTTCTTCAGTGTCGGTGTGAGATCATGTGAATGTGAAATCTAACAATTCTATTTTCAGCTATGATGGTTTCACAAATTTCCGCTTTATTTAAATTTAGCAAAAATAATTTACTTACAAACATGTTTTAGTCCAATCTTTAATTCTCTCTTAAAACGATGAATAAAACGTACAGTGAATTTACAACAACAACAAAAATCTTAGATCTCTGGGATAACCAGGAGAAATCTTAACATTATTGCACAACTGGCCTAAACAAATCCTAACGCACAACGGTTTGTCACAGTCGCAGTATTTCGATCATATCAACATTACTGATCGATGTGTTGGCTCTGTCTTCTGCTGGCAGCTGCAGTGCTGCTAGTGCTCTACCAGTGTGCGAGACAATATCCTCGTTTTTGTGCTGCTGAAGCTCCTCAAGATTCTGAACCATTTCCTCTGAGACAAACTAGGAAAGAAACCTCTTGTCAGGCTTTCGTATAGTCGATTGTTGGCTTATCTAGTGTCAGTTAATAAATATTTTTTTCTGGAAACGATAAAGTAGAATTTTACATTCACCTCGTCATTTACGATTAACTGCAAACTTGTGGGTGGAAAAGAAAGATTATCGGACAGTAAAAGTCTACTGAGTATACAAGTAGAATGCAGTCGTAATATTTGATGTGCTTCTTTGGAGAAACTATAACGATTCGTTTTTTAGAAATATATTCGGAAATTAAGGGGGCATGGATGTTAAGTAGATGTTTGAAAACTGGGGCTAAATAAAGGAGAAAGTAGGGGACTAAAAAGTAAGGAAAAAAAGAGGGTATGTTGTCTGAAATAATGTGCACTATAAGGGGGGGGGGAAGGTGTGTTGACAGTTTGTATTCGAAGGGTGCCAGTAGTAGCATCAATGATTGGGAATGACGAATACAGTGGGGATTGCCATTATTGTTTACATTTTCCTTGCGGTAGTTCCGAAAAGTATTTTTGTGCCAAGGTTAAAAACAAATATCCCTTTCGCCAGTAAAGATATTTTTCTTGCTTTTTATGAAAAATATCGCGCATTTAAATCAAGCATTTCCAGTGGTAGCAATGCATTTTCAGAGCACCTTAACAAAGCTTGTTTCTAAAAAGGAGCTACGTGATGTCCCATTAAGGGTCCTACTACGTTGTATGGATAATGTAACAAAATCGAAGGGCAGATCTCATAAATGGCCCAGGTTTCAATGTCTCTGGGATTTTTTAAGCAATAAACCTTAATTCGAATCTCGCAGATCTTTTCCCATTATTTCCAAATTAAACTTTACAGCAATAGAACCCAACACACCTCAGCTGTGCGAATTCGCGATTTGCTTTTATTTTGCCAACGCAGTCGAAGAGCTGCCAGAATATTCGCTAGACAAGTGACAGTGCGGAGAAGAATCTCTTCATCCCATGTCACCCCTAAAACGTCAGAAACCGCTCGAATAATCTGCAAAAAACACGAAAATCCAATATAACTTTGCGGTGTAAAAATACGTCGGCAACGAACATACCCTGTTAAAAATGTCGAGCATCCAAAATTAGCTTTATGTTATTATGATTAAAATTGTACTCCACTGCTAAACGCTAGCATACCCACTTTAAAAAACAACTTTATCAAGACTATCAACAAGACACTGAATAGAAGTTATAGAGCCCTAGATACTTTGAAAACATCAGTTTCATCATCTATTCTACTATTCACGCATTGATACCTCTGTCATTCATGTGTCCTCTAGATAATTTGCCACTTAGACTTGCCCCAACTTCTGCGAAGGAGACGGACGTAGAGGCGCAGATATCCTCAGGCAGGACAATGAAACAAATATCAATTACTCTCTCAAGCACCAAGCACCAAGCGTTGGGGCAAGTCTACGCACTACTGGTTTTCACTTCTTCTTTTATTTTTTCTTTCAGCTTCCCACTTTCCTCTTTAGCTTTCAAATAAATTGGACACGGTTAACCTTTTTTTTTAATTAAATAAATTCGACACGACTGAATTTTACATAACTCAGTCGCTATATCCCATCTTTTCAGCCTTGAGTAGGCAGATGAATACCAGTATATGTATACCTGTATGTCTGTCTCTAGCTCATTTTCCACAATGTTGTTGTTTGTAGAAATGTTGACAAGAATCTTTAAAACTTGAAGCTGTAAAATTGCGAGAAGCTACATCAAATCTTAAGACTGCATTGACGTTTAGAAACATGACGATGTCATCCAAAACAAAACAAAACAACAACATTTAAAAAAAATAAGAATTAATTTTGCTACTGGCAATATTTTGCTTGACCTTAGATGTTCCTACATTAACTCTTCATAAACAGCCTCTGGAGTTCCACTCCATTTTGCTATAGAAATATCTGTTTTCACCAGATATACTCGTACAGCCTCATCTATGATATAAAGGACAAACCTTGACAGGTAACTCGGAAATGCGGAGAATTTCCAGCAAAACCTGCAAATGGGGCAACAACAGACTGTGATTCTCGTCCAGCGTTGTTAAGTTTGTGAGAACTCGAGCTGCTGCTAAAATGACCATGGCAGAAGAACATTGATCATGACGTAACAGGCCAACCACGTCAGGTATCAGTTCCTGGAAAATTAAAGAGGAAATCATATGACTTTCATCTCGTGGATAATGTCCTATATCAAAATAAATAAGTAAAAAACATATTCAAACTTCCTTGTCTCTAAATGTGCGTGCAAAGAAACGCGAAAGACGGGGGTGAGCATGTTTGAAGACAGTCCTAGGACTGTAAGCACCCCTCCCCCCATCAGCCGCAGGCAAGGACTGAACCTAAATTATGCAAAATCTCGCAACTTACCAGCAAAATTCCCTGCAAATAATAATACGTGCAAATATGATACATGCACTTGTTTTTCATACGATCACCGCGAAACAGGATTGCTACACTCTTTTTTTTATAAGAACAATTTTATAAGACCACGAGCCTCAAAATGGGTCAAAATTTAAGAACAAATTAAGAACAAGCTGAGGCTGAGCTACTGTAAAATGAAATTTTGAACAATGTTTTATCTCAGAAACGAGGATTTTTAGCGATGTGTGGGTGCTTTTTCGGTGAATATTAAAACATGGCGGCAAATTGAGTTTGTCTCTACGCACTTTGTTGGCAAAAGAGGCCTGAACACCTCCCCAGAACGAAAAGCTAGAAATCGCGCTGCTTATACCCTATAAATTTAAGAACAAATTAAGAACAATCCAGCCTCAGATTTTCGGAAAAATTAAGAACAATCAGCCTGAACTCAAATTTACTGGTTCTTATAATGGCGGCAAATTGAGTTTGTCTCTACGCACTTTGTTGGCAAAAGAGGCCTGAACACCTCCCCAGAACGAAAAGCTAGAAATCGCACTGCTTATACCCTATAAATTTAAGAACAAATTAAGAACAATCCAGCCTCAGATTTTCGGAAAAATTAAGAACAATCAGCCTGAACTCAAATTTACTGGTTCTTATAA